GTAATAATAATAAAAATAAAGATAAATATAAATTACCAATATAAATTACCAATAAAAAAAAAAAAAAAAAAAAAAAGAGGATTTTTACCACCATCAATTTCTCGGACTTGAGGATTCTTATTCTTAATAGAGGAAATCATTAAATTAATTTCTCCTTCGAATTTAAGATCCATCTCCAAAACATCATCATTTATACCATAACACTCTTTGATAAATGATTGAACGATTTGAAAAGCTTCTTGTTCAAGGGATTCATTCCCCTTAAACTGAGCCCATATCCATCTATAAGTTTTCTCGTATGATGGATACCATTCATTCTTCTGATCGATGGCAATATAACGGTAGAAATAAAGTACAATTATTGACCTCCAAGTTTGGGCATTTATTTGAGAGAGTTTTTGTGATTTGGTGTGACGATTTTTATATTCAATGAATGCCGTACGGAGTTTACTTGTGTTTTCGTAACCGAAGAATTTTGCTAAATAATCAATATATTGATATGATCCATTACTTTGTAGACATTGAAGAATACGCTTAACATGAACGGTCGCGATAGTTTCTCGAGAAATTAATTTTTTATCATCTATTTAAAATTTTAGTATTTAATAGTAAGTAAAACAGAAAACAAACAATTAAATAACCTCGTGGATAAAAGGGGAGAAATAAGCAATACAAACCCTCAATTTCAAATCTGTCGCAAACAACTTTTCTGCCAGTATCAACAGCAATTTCTTCAAGTTCTAAGTCGTTAATTTCCTTATTAACGTATTTTTCAGCACGTTCATTGACACCACTCCATTCACTTCGACAATCTTTCAATAAGAAACGTAAGAACCATGAGATCATAATAGTAATCCACACGGTAGGTTGTTTCTTTAAAATCCGTTCATCACAACATTGAGATTTGTATAAATCTATAAGACGATCTTGTGAATCAAAACCAAATAAATTTGCTAAATCATCGGAAGGAGGGAAACCACCATTTGGAGCCTGTAAAGCAACAAGAGTATAAAGCGTTGAACGATCAAAAGGTTTCTCTTTAAGAGTGGCAAGAAAATCGGGAGTAGGCTTAGGAAGAGGTTTAAGCGGGAAAAATTTCACTTTATAATGAATCTTTCCTTGGGTAGAAAGTCTTGCCCGACTATAAAAGAAAAAATTTAAAATAAACAAAGATATCAAAGATATATAAAGATATAAGAATAAGAAGCTTTGAAATTACATGTCGATGTCTTTTAAAGTTTCTTCATAAACATTCTCCGAATTCTTTTTGACAAGTTCATTAGTAACTTCAAAACAGCACTGGCCAAGTGATTTATGACTTAATAAAGTGTTAAAATCCATCACTTCCAAAATAAACTTGTCACCAATGGTCATAACAGGTAAATAGAAAATTTCCTCCCACACAGGATTCAAATTGCAATCTAAAAATCTAGTCTGAGCGATAATATCTTTAGCATTACTTTCATGAAATACTCGAACATAAGGATCAGATTTTCCTAATAAATTGAATTGAGTAAATTAATGTTAACTGTTTAATTGATTTAATATCAACAAATTTATAAAACAATTAAATATAATTACCACCACCAAGAAAAGAATCAACACTTTTTAAGTTTTCAGCCTCTATCAATTCTAATCTAATCACACCGACTAATAATATTATTATAAAATGATTTTTTTTTTTTAAAAAAAAAAAAAAAAAAGTTAACAATATAAAGTAAATTTCTAAAAAAGTTATGAAATAAAAAATTTACTTTTTTTCGCAGAATGAACCGGTAATATGGCAAATTGAGAGTGTGGGCCATCCCTAAAGGTTCTCGCCTTATTGTCAGCGAGCACAACATGTGAACCTTTAATTTCAAGCACAAGGTTTTGTTGGGATTGTAAGGCAATACGCCCATCTTGAGTAAGGATCCATCGCTGTTTATTATCGCTTTTCTTACGGCAAAGGACGAGATTGCACCCTGGTTTCGCTATTGTATAAAAAAATGAATTAACACATTACCCATCAGAATTTCCGAAATACGGTACATCGATAACGATAAGGAAATTTCATGTGTTTACTAAGGTCACGTTTTATTATTATTTAAATCTATAAACCTACCCGACCCAGCATCTAAACATAAGGTTGATTGTTTATTAACCAGCCAACCGTCATCATAACGCCAAAGCTGATAATTATCAGAGTCAACGTCACTCTTCTGGTTAGCTATAATTATTTTTGCATTTTCTTTAACGGCGGCGCCCCAAGCCAAAAATCCACCACGTTCAACATCAACTACTGAATTATTGGCAGAGGCTGAAGAAAGCGATTTTATGTAAAAGTCGCCCTTAGAAAACGAACAATCCTGAACACTAGCCATTATCGTTATTTACAGGTTTCGTTATTTACAGGTTTTATGCTACAAAAAAAAAAAAAAAAAAAAAAAAAAAACAAAACGTTAATACAATAAGTAGTCAAGTTTCCGAAAACCAAAAAAATCTCGACTAAAGAAGGAATATTTCTTTGAATGAATCTTTTTTATATTCGCACGGGGAGTTTTTTTTTTTTTTTTTTTATACATTGTTGATGTAAAAAAGTAATTTTATTTTTATCAATGATAAGATGTAATTTTTCCCATGCGTGAAACACATAGAGCAACATAGTTTACATAAAAAATATTGGCTTATTAAGTGTCGGCTAATTTCTTATGATCGTATAGGATTTGAATAGAAGATTTTAGGATTGATGCACCGGTTTTTTCCTTATTTGGAAGGTATGTTAAAGCAAAAGTAATTAAAACCAAGGCTAATGTTAGTCCAGAGTTAGAGTAAGGACAAGTAATATAGGTAAAATTTCCTTCTCGACATTTTTTATTAGTGTCTTAGGATAAGTTTAAATACCCGTTTCTTGTATTTTTCATGTTTTGCAATTTTTTTATTTTTGCTTCGTAAAAATTTATCGTTATCGTTATATAATTTGATTAGATTTCCCAAATAAGGAAATATCGAT